TTTTCTTGAAAAATGTTTTTTTGACGAAAGTTGTAGGGTTTTAATGGCATTTCCATATGACCTTTGGCATGTACTCACTATTAAACTCACGATTAAACCAACAGTACTATCTTATGTTAAGATGACTTTGAAGTTAGAAAAGTTTTGCACGAACATTTTATCGATATACATTAAAATTACCTTGTAATTTTATTGTATAAACTATCGAACATGTTACTGTAAGATCTGACTCGCGTGTAGATTGTCTAGCTTCAAATCACTTTCGTGTATTAGAGAAAATTAATCGCACCAACGCAAAGATTTGATTGCATTAAGAAAATTGCTTATTTTTTATATGCTATTATTTATTGTCATAACAATTAATTGGTGGGTGGTCAATATTAATACGGTCAAACGGGATATGTCCGGCGTTAACTTTCAAGACCCTTTTAATGAAAAGTACTTTATTATAGTGTTTTGGAAAAGTTTTGAAGTTAGTTGTATGAATATAAAAAAATAAAAAATGGATTTCAATTAAAAAATTTTATATAATCTTGATTTGACCTTTTTCTAAAGATCATCCAAGGATCATCTTCTTTCTCCCTAGCAATTAAACAACTTTTGTCTGAAGTATTTTTCCGTATTATATTTCTTGAGATATTTCAATGTGTCGATTAAAATGACTCACCGTATATATGCCGTAATTTGATATAAGTGCATTAGGATTAAATGGATATTGGACATGGACATGGATTTAAGTCTCGCTTTAGCAATATATTTAATTTTTTTCACGTCAAAAATAATTTATTTATTGATATTATTACAAAATGTTTACTGTACAAAGCAAACGAGTATGATTATGAATTTATTTTAACGTATGTCATAATATTTCACTATTGAACTGAAATATTTTGTACGTTTCACTACTAATTATACATAATATACAAATTTTACAGAATAATATACAGATTTTACAGAAGCAAGAATATTTTCTTAAGAAAAATATCATTGTACAATATCATTTGTACAATAATTTTAAAATTACCGAGAGGATCCTCGTGGAGCATTTTTACCACTTATTATATCAATATGCCTGAATGTGCAAAATGTTAGTTTCGTGATTAGTAAACTTTAATTAATTTAAAAAGTTATAGTCTTAATATTTTCGTATTAGAATTTTTGAACTCAAAATTATCTCAAATATATGCTATTAAAAAGTAATCCGGTATTTGCAGGACATCCTGTATATTATTTACATATATTTACACTATGTGCAGTGTTAAAAAATCTATTTAGCATTTATATGTAAATATAGAGTACATATCATTAGTTAGTCAGAAAATGTGTTTAATATAGTTAGTTAATCCGGCGATTAAGAATTAACGTATTATTTGATACGATTACACAATTATGATTTTCGATGAAATCTTCTATTATAAAATGTTTATGGATATTAGATGAAGACAAAACGTGGTTTATAAATCACTGAATTAAACATCGCATGAAACGTAGAAGTCAGTAAGTCAGTCACGATGCTAATATGTTTACATCTCAAAATGGTTTTTGATCTATATTTATTAAGATTTTTTTATTCATAATTTTACTCATAATTTAAATTATGATAGATAATACAGTGTGTATTATCTATAATAAAAATACTGAATAGTTTTTTAAATACCTTGTACATTATATGTGTACGTGCGTACGTGCGTGCGCGCGCGCGCGCGCGTGTGTGTGTATGTGTGTGTACACAATTGACGAATTAAATTAGATTTCTTAAGGCTCCTCACTAGTCGCGGCGGTCATTGGAATCGTGATGTCAGAAGAAATGATACGTTAATTTATGTTGCAAACCATTTGTAAATAAAGACAATTTAATGGATAAATCTAAATGATTATTTTAAAATATCTGTAAAAATGGATAGAATATTTTTATATTTTTAATATTTTTTCTCCCTTAATAATCAGAAAATGGTTGTAAAAGGCAGGTAAAGTGAATGCCTAATTTCGAGCAGAAACACACGATTTGAACAGCTGTTGAAATGAATGAAATATACGCTTTTATAAAATTCCAAGATAATTATAGTTTCTGCTCATTTTTAAGACTTTCATAAGTACGAAACACATCACATTTTCACAATTAAGCAAATAATGAAATGGCTTCCAGCATAAATTTTATCAAAATGTCACTTTTTCATGCCTATAAGTTCATTTATCGTGGCGAGACGCTGCAACACACACAACAACGAGCCTATATATGTATATGTGCTCGCTTTCGCCGAGAGCACATATAGCTAGCTCGTGCTTGTGTATGTGACTATCGATTTCGCCAGGCTGTCGACTGATTTTGAATCGCATGCTAACTATTGGGTCAGAGGTCTTAAGTCTGATTGTTTGATTTGTTTGCTATTCCATTGCTTACGTTTTATTTATATATATATATATATATAT